GAGCACGAGCAGCAGGCGGAACGCCACCCTGCCTCTTCCCTGGGAAAGGCTCCCGGTGACTCCTGGCAGCTCGCAACAGAAGGGTAATTGCAGCTACAAACTCCTCCGTGAAGGCAATCGCTGTGCTTTTTAAACAGCCCATAAAAATCCCCAGCGATGCCGATGTCTGAACAGTTAAACAGCGATTAAAGACACCAGCGCTACAAGACCCGGGCACGTTATTTCCACAGAACATGGCAGCAGCTGCTGAATTCCTGCCTTTACTGCGCCGCGCTGGCAGGCGCCGAGCTCTTTATGGAAACGGTGGCGTTATATTCAGCGCTAACTAGCGAGCGGCGCAGCTCCTCAGCTGCCTCTGAGCCTCCCCTGCTTCTCAGCTCCATTCCCCAGAGCCGTTCCTGGCGTGTGCGGCGGTGCCCAGAATCCCGTGCCCGCCTGCGCAGGGCGTGCCGGTGGCTCCGGGGACGGCCTCGCCGAGCAGAGCCGGAGCTGGCGGTGTCACCAACGTGGTCCTCACCTCGCCAGCGTGGTGTCTCTGCCGCACGCTTCTGGGGTCACGTACAGCTGCAGCTGGTAACCTCAGTAAGTCCGTACGGGGGCAAACGTTCCACTACAGCCCGCAAAACTTCAGTGTTTAGGGGTTTTTTTTAATTAGACTCTTACCAAGAAGGTAAAAGGCGACCGGGCGGAGAGGAGGTTGAAGCCCTCTGGCTCCTGCTGGGCTGGGGGGGGGCTGCGGAGCCTGTGTGGTACGTGTGGCCCATGACTCGTTTCGGCCTTTCAGCTCCTTCCTGGGCCGTTCTCATTCGCTCTCACTTTAGGCCAGCCTCTTCTGCCAGAGGAAGGGTTTGTGGTAGGGTTCTCTGTGTGTATTTCCAGCAAGAAAGTGTCCTGTTTCCATATTTCCTTTTACTTTTGAGCCGCAACTCCCCAAAAGAAAATCGGTGTCAGCGAGGGGAGGGGAGCTTCAGCAACTTCGCTCCGAAAAACTGCTGAGAGTTGAGGCATTTTGGGTGCGCTGACATTAATTCTTACTAAAACCCGCTGGGCTCGAGCATCTCAAATGCATCTCT